AAAGATTACTTGAATAATGAGTTGACATCTTGTTGCCGCATGTTCAGGAATGAATGTGTGTGTTTATGTTTTTGGTTGTGCTAGACGCGCACACACACACACACACACACACACAGATATCAGGATGTATAGTGTAGCTACAGACAGTTTTAACTCCATTTTAAGGGGAAATGAGAACTTTGAACGTCTGACTACAAGAAATGGTGAAAGACGCACGGCGGCTGCAGTGGACTAATGTCTCCACAATGTAGAGGCTTAACAAACAGTTGTGAAGTCTGTTGATACGGAGGTAACCGGTGACTGCAAATACAAAATCACCAAATCAAACTTCCGTGAACGGTAAATTAAAGCCGTTGCTTACGTGGCTGATGCCATTACGCTGCCGTTGTGATTTCGTCCAAGCAGCTAACGTCACTTTTAGTTGATTGACACGTCAGAGTAGGGCTGGGCCGTGTTCACATCACGGTATTCTGTACGGTATCCCGGTACATCAAAGTATTTCTTTTTGAGTAAACACATTCATTCGTTGACGCTGAAAAGGACACCGGCCAGCTGAACAGCTGTTTATCTCTCGCATCTGGCCAGCGGTTAAAAACCGGCCGCGAACAGCTGCTTTTTTTTGAGTAAACACATTCATTCATTGACGCTGAAAAGGACCACCGGCCAAAGGAACAGCTGTTCGCCGCTTGCCGGCCAAACATGCTCACAGCGGCCCGGCAAGTTAGCATGTTAGCTTGTTAGCGTGTTAGCTGTTGTGTTGCAATGACAACGTGGCGCAGGTCGTGTTCCAAACATGAGGACGACAGGGTTCTTATGCCATTGGAGAAACATCTGAACCAATGAGGAGGAGAGCCGTCGTTATTGTCGTTAACCACACCGGCAGGCTTCCCGCTTCACGGTAAACACGTCTGCTGGGAGAAAAGAAAAGGGCAAAGTGAGGAATCCTGAAAGGAGCCGTGGAAATTTAATAAACAAGTGACTCAGAAAGCTGCTAACCAAGTCAATCTGCAGTGTGTGTGTGTGTGCGTGTGTGTGTAATGAGTTTAAACTGAGTCACTGCTGGTTTAGAGGACTGTGCACAACATTGTTTTGTCTTAATATTGAACTGAGAGGGGAGTGGAGGGCGGAGAGGGTTAGCACTCTTTGCTCATTTGGACGATTCTTTGAAAAAGAGACAAGTTCCCTAGTTTTCATTATCTCTGCAGCGAAAAATACAAACATCCTCCAAAACGTCACCGTGTAAAACTCTGAATACGATTTATCCTGAAAGGTGAGCTGGTACTCGGATAATTTATTAATGATAAAGTCGTGCAGGCGGCAGCTTCAATTCCTGGTGAGACAGATGTGAAGGGAAGGATATCAGTGAGTGTGTGTGTGTGTCTGTCTGTCTGTGTGTGTGTTCAGATCAGCCCTCTACATTTCCTCATGTGGGTTTGACTTTGGCCGCTCCAAATTTCAGACATCAGCTGTCACCTCAAAACACACACACACTCTTTACACATCTCCCTCACGTGTGCAGATGTTGCGTCGGATTTTTCTGCAGCCAATGCAGAGTGTGTGTGTATGTGTGTAGTCGCTCTTGTTTTTTTCTCTTTCCATTATAAATCAGCTACACACACACACACACACACACACACACACACACACACACACAGACAGGCTTCTTGCATGTGGCGGCGCAGATGGCCTCCTCTCACACCGAGGCTGCCATGAGCAACATGAACAGTTTGGCGACAGTCAACGTCATGATGCATTCGCTACTCGAACCTCAACCACCTTCACTAAATACACGTAATCCTGACCTGAGCATTGATGAAGGCCAGTCGCTCACAGCCGGACGCCCGCTGAAGCCAATGCATTCTCACTAGTGACCACCAGGGGGCGACTCCTCTGGTCTAATAGAAGTCTATGAAAAAATTACTCTACTTCTCTCTCGGTAAACTGTGTGGAAGTAAACTCAACTGTGTTGTTCCTTCAAAGCTCTTTAAGTGAGGAGTGTCCAAAAATATCCTCACCTTCCAAAAAATGTAGTAGTTTGAGTTTAAGACGTGAGGTTTGAAACAAACCACAGTCCTTAAAAACACACAGTAAAACAGCAAAAATGTTGAAGATCACCTCATGCAGACATTTTATTCAGCAGATATTTTCAACTTCAAACTATGAAGCATAAGAGGAATAAGAGGAATATACTTCTTTTCAGGTGAAGCCTTCCCCGAAGCACACAAACAAACACCAGCAGCTCCAACGTATTACCGGGAACACAAATAGAACGAGACAAAGCAAACTGTGGTTCTTCTGACGTCACACCTGGATGCAGTTCTCCTGCTGCCCCCCCCCCAGGCACCGGGTCCAAATGCGTCTATTTATAGCTCAGCATCAGCTAACGGACACGATATTTATAGCCCGAGATCTGTTCACTGTTACACACACAGACACACACAGTGCGCATCCTCCCACACGCGCGCTGGAAGGCATACGCTAGCGCACACACAGAGACACACTCATACATGTAGTCATTCAGAGGGTATCAGGTGCCTGGAGGAGTCCTGCTCCATTAAAATGCAGCCGACAGAAAAAGATGGCTGACGTAAGCATTAATGAGCACTGCACTCACACGCACGCACAAACACACACACACAGGTCATGGAAGTCAACAGAGGGGATTCAAAATGTACATCGACTGCCATAAGATATTCATGCTTGACCATTTTTACACACAAAGCGGCCGTCCTGGCAGCGCGCCTTTACGTGCTTCAAACACAAACAGCGGGGGGCAGCGTTTGTTCACTAAGTGCCACTCTGAAAGGCCCTAAACCCCTTCTCCGTTTCACACTCCAGTGCACGCCGAAGCCGGCTGATGTTCCCCCTCGGAGACGCGCGGCACAAGAACTCATCCGCACGGCTTCCACGGGCCTCAGAGGCAGCGGAGGGACGCTGCGGCTAGTTAGCGGCTAGCTAGCGGCTGGCTAGCGGCGAGGGGCACATGCACGGAAGACGGGGCCGTTAAACACAAATTCAGTTGGTCACGCCAGATGAAGAATAGTTTGAATGTGAGTTTTGGATGTAGCCTTCAGTTAGCAACTCGAGACTCGAGGACGGCGCGAGAGCTGAGAGACGACATCAACGAACCCTGCGGACATCTTACGGACGTAAAAGAAAAATGTCTTCAACAGGAATCTAAATTAACATTCATGCATCGAGAAAAGACATTAACGGTTTTCGTTCGGAATCCCACCGTGTGTTTTTGACATATTTTATCCAACAAAGGACAAAACCCGACACATCACGTCTCAGACTACAAACCAAAACCAAAAAGGTTCTTCTGTTCTTTTGGAAAGTTCTAACTGGTTGAAGCAAAAGTCCCTTTCCAGCTTCTGCTGAGGCTTCTACAGAAGAGGAAGAGCGTCTGACAGACACACAACCTCTGAGAACTGACGCCACAATCATTGTGTATCATTGTGTATCTCAACTCCTGCGCGTCGGTTTCCCTCCCGTTTGTGTTTTCACGTCATTAATACTTGTCTTCTTGCGTTTTTCCTCTCCGTCAGTGGGAATCGATACTGACAGTTCTTTGTCTCACTTTGCCCATTTAGCATTTCAAGACTCGTCCCTTTACCAATTAACTCAGATAACGTCTGACAGGAAGAAGTGAACCAAAGGTGATGCACCCAAACACATACAGGACTTCTCCCATTAAGAAACATTTGCTGCTTTACATGCACACAGCAGGTGAGCGCTGCTGAACTCTCCCAGAAACAGAGAAACTAAGCCTCCCAGCACACAGCAGTGTGTGTCTGTGCGCGCAGGCCCCCCCTGGTCTGCTGTGAGTTCATTTCTGCACAGATGAAATAAGGTTCCACTCGCATCCGGAGAAAACAAAACGACCACAAGGCGGCTTAGAGGAAATAGGGGGCGTGTGAGTGTTTAAGAGTCGTTTTATTGTACACACTGAGGTGAGAAATACATTTTTTTTAAAAGGCAGTGGAGTTGAACCTTTGTATCCATCTCGGGAAGGAGATGAAGGGTTGGAGACGGCGAGGTAAACACTGTGTTGTTTTCCATTAGCGGGTGACGTGGTGACAGCTGCTCGCTGGGGAATTCAACCGGCTCTCGCCGCAGAGACGTTTACTCCAACAGCACCGTCCAGTCTGCAGGAGTCGGCCGGTTGCTGTGCCTTGCCAAAGGGCACCACGGTCGTCGGTGGAAACAAATGAAGATGTCTCGTAAGCGTCAGTGCATGGATACATCCACCCGGGATTCAAACCAGCGAGGTGTTTTTGCGAGGAAAATAGATGGATATCTAAAAAGGGTTTTGTTAAGTTTATGTAGTGTCTCATAGCTAACGCTGCTAACAGCGCTAACCTCACGTTACCCCGCAAAACCTCAGGTTACCTCGCTTCGTCTTTGGTTACTCCACGTAATCACACCAGACCTTGTTACCCAGGTTACCTCACCTGACCGGTACCAGGGCGCACCACCAAAATATATATATTTTTTATGTTTATTTTGAAAATTGAGCTAGTATTTGGTCCAGTTTTAGTAGTAGTAGTAACAGCAATAGTAATGATTGATTAATAACGGAAGTCACTTATCAAGCAAAAAATAAACTTCGACATCCTGTGAAAACCAGGTATCTTCAAAACAAATCAATGTGATAGTTGCGACTTGAGGTTTTGGTACTTTTCCAGTTTTTTTAATGATGTGTCACAAGGGTGAAAAAGTGTTCCTGTTTTTTATTCTAGGTGTGTTATTATACCTTCAAACATGCAGAACACTAACAAGCTCCCTGAGGCGGCCTGATATCCTCACAGGCGAGCAGGGAGCGAGATCTTTCCAAGGATCACCTTGGGACACGCTTCAGGTTTTAGCAACAATCAAATTAAATCTCTGAGTGGTTGTTAACTTGCAATAAAAAAACGGATGTATTTATTGGTGCTGGGTATTATACATAACTTCCAAATGTGTGTAATGGTGATGTGAAGCAACATCAGGAAACTGAGCAGGTTTCTGTTTAGTTTTATTGAAGCCAAACATTCAGTTGCTGCACGTGTGTCTTTGTGTTGCGGTGCAATTTTCTAACTTTGGCAGTTCTTCAAAAGACGTCATGCTTCACGGTCAGGCGCCTCGTGGCGTTAAAATAACTTAAAAACAAGTCAGTAATTAAACAGAATATCACGAGCAGAAATGCTGCACACAAAACCAGATTACCAGCAGGTTAAACAAGTTACACTTCACACGCTGCTTTCACAGCAGGTTAATTAAAAAAATAAAACCGTTAAATATGTCACACATGAACAGAATGTGCAGCTTGAATACTGACGAGGAAAAGCAACTCAAACCGTCGCTCCACAGGCCAGCTGCCCCCTCTAGTGGTGCACGCCGGTGGGACGAGGCCTGTACGACACCAGCACACCTGGAGGGACCAGGTCACGTCACCTAAAATTCAATATTGACGCGTTACTAAAGAGCGGTGGGATTTTAAAATGCTTACGAGTGCTGCAGGAGATGAGTCAGCGTTTGACACCTCAGTCAGCAGGGTTTTTCCTCTTGGCGGTTTGTTCAACAATGTAAAACAGGCCAGACACAAACCCTCTGGTGAATCTTTAAGTGGCTTAAAAAGAGGTGTTTACTTTAATTAAGTCCCTTTAGTGATCAGAAATGTTACAATGGAGATGTGTAAGTATCGTTAACGTTTCTGTCTCCACAGAGAATATTCCACGCAATGACCAAAGGCAAATATTATCTTTTTATCTCAGGAACCAGTGTGTGCGAACTTCAGGATTTGGGCTAAAACTGCAGGTTTTAATGCTATTTTTAAACTACATTAAATGTCAAATTGATCTTTTGAGGTGGCATTTGAAGAGAGGAGAGCAGGTAGAACGTGGTCGTGTCGGGGGATTTTCTTTACTCGTCCCTCTACTTGCTAAGCCTGGAGGACATTTGGTATATTAGTGACACACACACACACGACTCCGTCCTGACATTCAGACGGATGGGGACAGCTGAGCTCCAGCTGTGCGGCCCCCTCCCTGTGCTTCACCTCCTCCCCAGATGATGCTGCGCAGCGGACGAGGAAACGAAGGCCTCCAATTTATGCAAAAATAATGTCAGCGTCGCTCCGTCAGCCGTCAAGTAGACCCACGGCCACCACGGACGAGAAGGACTAATAAAAGATTATTTACAAATGTAGTTTGAAAAAGGCGCATCGCCCTTGAAGGATTATTCTAATTATTCTCTTAAAGCAGGAACATTCTTCATCTCGACACCGTCCTGTATTAGTTCACTGTCTTTAAGGTCTTAAATTTTTTTTATTGGCTCTCGACGGAAAGCATTTTTAGATGCCTGTTTGCTGCGCAGGCTGTTCACTTTTAAGTCTCCTTTGATATTCAAGATGCCGATCAAGAACATACAGAACAAATCTTGGAAATGTCCCGTGTGTCCCGTGCTCATAGCATGTTGGGATGGAAACTCCTCGCCACTTCTCAGAGAACATTGGTTTGAGCGTCGTTCTCAGACAAATATTCTATGACCTCCCAAAAGAACATTTTGGTCAGAAGTAAAATAAAATAACTCTCTACTTATTAAATTAAAGAAGAAATTATTTGAGTTAAAGACATAACAGTGATTGTCTCGGGATGTCAGGAGACATTTTTGTCTTCCATTGCAAAACATTTTCTAAGGCGACAAAAACAACTTAACTCCACAGTCCATCCCATTTGAACCGTATCCATAGCAACGAACGTCATCGGATGCATATGAATGCGTTGCTTCGGGCCCTTTACAATATTTATGATCTTTTGATCGAAGGCGAGAGGGAAGGTAGGAAGAGCAAATTCTCCCTCGCATCCGCTTCTTCTCTCCCCATGAATCCCTTCCTCCCCCCGGAGACATTGCACATATACTTCACAGTCGGAGACGATGAGAGCACTGTGGTACCTGTCAGTCTCAATGCAGTTCTGTTCCTACGCTCAGGTGAGGACAGGACACACACACAGTTGCCTTTAGCTCACTAAAATACAGACTAATGAGCACACGCATGCTACTGTGCTGGTTTGTCCCAGAGGATGATGGGATATGTTCTGTTGCAGGTCGGCTGACACGATGGGAGATGTTTCTCTCAGCCTCGAGATGCAGAGCAAGCATGCGCCCTGCCCCAGTGCTCATGAGCAAGCATCACGTAGCCACTAGCACCAGGGCTGTAGCTTCCGTCCACGTACTTTCATGTTCATCAAGCGAAGCTTTAAGGGGGCTTCTTCCTTGAGTCGAGTTCGGACTGAGCGCGCCGTGTAAACACAGCAGCTCCGTAGCTGTACAGTTTATACGTCTGCGGTTAATAAATTTAAACAGTGTCTGTGCAGATGGACAACGCTAAAATATTACTCGTTTGCATCTCTGCGTTTGTCTTCATGTGTCTTCGCTCTTCGTGAAAAACCTCCCTTTGCGTTCGGAGTGAACGCTAAAAAGAGAAAGCTGATCGGCTGTAAATCCTCTTTGAGGCCTCTTCGTGATTCAGAGCTGCACCATCAATAAAACATGTCTTTTACTTTCCTCCTGATTTAAAAAAAATGTTCAGCTCTTTCAAACGCATGAAACTATTCTATCTAACGGCATTGAGGATGACCGATGGTCACATGGTGGTCACGCTGCGGTTTGAAGAGCGGACGCTCTGCGGTGAACGGAGCCCCGGCGTGGGGCGCGGGCCATTTCACGCCTCCTATCGGCGGGAGGAGCCTGGCCGGCCGGCCCCCTGAGGCATCATGGTGAGGTAGTTGGAGGGCACGTAGCCCCTCTGGCCCCCTGCGGCCTCCACCAGGCTCCAGTCGGGGTTCCCTCGCTTGTCGTGCGGCTCAAGGACGCGAACCGGCTCGCCGGCCCGGATTGAAACTTCATGGTTTCCTCTCGCCGCAAAGTTGTAGGCCGCCAGCACCTGGAAGAGAGGTCGCCACAAAGTGAGCCAGGTGCCCTGTGAGGATGGAGACGGCACCCGGCTAACGAAGGAGAAAAGTAACATTTCAGCATTTAGAAAACATAAATATCTGAGAAAACAAGCGACACACAAACACGCAAAAAATACCACTTCAAAAAATAAGCTGACACAAGCACACATCTTTGTAAAATTCTCTGAAAAGGTTAAGCCAAGTAGTTACGTCTTGACAAATCCCAGCTCTACACACACACGTGCACACAGAGCGAAGGCTCCCTAACGAGCGCCGTGTCGCCGTGACGGAGCGCTGCAGCAGCGCTAATAGCCGAGTTCAGCCGGCTCCTCGGTGTCATTAACGAACCCTTCACCGCCGCTCACCTCTCGGCTACGACATTAGCTCTGCACCAATTAGCATTTCATTAGCATTCGTCTGGGCCAGAGACGAGGAGGAGGAAATGAAGTCGGGTGACCACGGCCGCCGGCTGCAGGTGAACAGTGGTCCCACATCAAGAAGAAGTTGCGGCTTGAATGCCGCAGCTAAAAAAATGAAAGCGAAACATCGTGTCTGGTTTCCTCAGCCGCTAACAAAAGAACAGTGACGATTTTGGATTTTTTTTTTACAATTTAAAATCTGTAAGAGTAAAGGCGGTACGTGAGTGTGTCTGAGCGTGTGCGTTATATACGAGCAGACTCGGGGTCAAGAGGGATGAACGTCGGGCGGAGGAGGCCTTGAAAGGAAGCTCTATAAAAAAAGGTCACTGGAGCAATTACTCAATTTAACAGGCAATGTGGAGACATATCTCACACACACAGAGACACATTGTAGTAATGCATTCCATCGCCCCGATCTTTGAAGAGCAGGACAGAATTTCAGTTTGAGACATGAACCTAATCAACAGAATGTGCAGAGGCTCCAGCGTGGACGTTGTGTCTGTGTGCTAGCAGATATCTTCTATATTGATCATGCTAACCGGCTAGCAACGATCCTTCCTGTATTGTAATGCAACAAAAGATTTGACCTTAACTCTGACCTTGGAACCAGGTCTTCACCCTCATACGGGCTTTTGAAAAAGGGCTCAAACGGCCAAGATGTCCTCACTTTACACAAACGTCCTCACCTCTGAGGACACACGCACGATGCCGGCCGCATTACTGCTTTATCATTCACTCACCTGAATCTCACTCCCTCACAAACACAAACACACACACACACACACGCACTATCTCCGTTTGCGGCAGGGCATAAATTAACACCAACCCGTCCCACAGTGGATCACTTACAAGGTTAAACAGCCAATTATGGACCTTTCCATTAATAACACACACACACAACATGCACTCAAATGACAGAGTGCCCTCTTGCAGATATGGGAACACATGTGATCAGACTCACACATGGCTGACCATGCAGGGACCCTCTCTCACAGATACACAAGAGCACACACACACACACACACACGTCTGTAACGTGTCATTAAGGAAATTAACACACCCAACAGTTACATCCATAGACCTTATGGATGCGTACAGTTGAACGCTGAATAAGAAAAAATGTTAACTATGATGAAGCGAAAACACGCTGTCAAAGGGTTCGAGTTGTGGATCTTGTTGTCAATCACGTTTACCTACTTAATTAAAGTGCAGAGTTAAACAGCACAGGCAGGATTACGTGTCGGGAGCGTCAAGTTTTTGTCACTGAGCAGTCAGTCACCTGGAAGCAGGGCGGGCTCATGACCGTCAGCGGCCGGCTCTCTGGGGTGTAGGAATGTCGCCTGATTCCTGTCACGACATCAGGCAGGATGGGGTTTGGTGAAGGGGGCGGGTCTTCTGATGGCTGGTGATAGCGAATCAGCTTCGAGGACGCAGCGTAACCTCGTCTGCCTGCGTGCAACATGCACACGAAAAGGTCATCATATATTAGGGAAGCAAGTATGCAGATTTGTTTAGCAAATTGGATTATTTAGTTAAAAATATCAGATCAATTTGATGTCTTCAAATTGATTGTTTGTAATAAAAGAAAAAAAGGTTTTCAGTTCATCAGAGAGGATTACAAAACAAAAGCCTGAAAATATTTTTTTTCATTTTCATTTTACTAACATTCCCACTAAAAGTAATCATGCCCATCTCTCTAATCTACAAATACTGTCCCCATGTGCATTGTTAGGTGCAGTAGCACCTAAAGATGGCGCCAACGAGTTGTATTTAAAGAGATTGCTGGTGTTGGAATATTTTCTTCAGCTAAATTCTTCAGACAAATAAAACAGCAAGAGGTTTTGAGTTACACAGTAGCACCATGTGGTTCTCACCTCCTGCGTCCACCAGCCATCTCCGTTTGTCCCCGCGGGTGTCCGCCTGACTGATGACGGCCACCAGCTCGCCTCTGGCCAGGTTGAGGTCCAGTTCCCGGCTGCCCACCACCGTCTCAATCACCTTGTAGATCTTCCCAGAGCCGTGCTTGTCCATTAGCTGCTTCAGGCGGCGCTGAGAGGAAGGACTCAGAGGCTGACAGGACGAGAAAGTAGTAAAAATGTAAATAGATTGAACCTTTAACAACAGCCCTGACAAGGACAAATAGAAAAATACATTATTACTAATAACTGAGTGTTTGTCTGCTTTCCAGAATAACAAACAGGTTGGGACCAACTTACTCTCCCAACTCAAGGCTGATAAACAATCTAATAACACGGAGACATGTTTGTGAGGTTTACGGGTCGGTGTAATGTTTCCCTTCGATGACGTCTTTGGGCTCACGTGTCTTACAACAGCGGTTAGATATGGTGGAAAACGGACATTTCACATTTATCGCATTTATCAGATCCGGCTGTTGACCAGTCAACATCCAGCAATTTAAGCCTTTGTCTTTGTAAACCCTTTACGCTGTAAATAAAATGAATCCTATGGGACAGTTAAAGGCAGCAGGCTGAGTAAAGTCATTATGAGAAAAAACATCAAACGTTTTCGGTCGCTGAATATGTGAACCAACAGGAAGTGATTAAGAATGCTGCAGAACTACAAGAGGAATATTTAGAAACATCTCATCTATTGTTTTTGTGCAGATATGAATCAGTGAGATGAGTCGGCACATTTTTTAGCCTGTACAACATGTTTGACAGCGATGACGCGGTCGTAAAGTATCGCCTGTCAGAGTTGTGTTGTTTTTTAAAAAGTGCGATGGTTGTAATTTATTTGCTAGAAGCTGACAACAGTCCCCTCCAGGGCTGTCAGCTTAGTTTCAGATAAAGATCAAGCCACACCAAGATCACCTGTAGAGTTAAATTATAGTGGATTGATTAATTACATAATCTGAGCTTTATTCAAAAACCTCAATAGAAGCTTGATGACATTTAAAACAGGAACCAAGGCGTGTAGAAGGTGTGGTAGAGTACTGATAAGAGAAATGATATATTGTGATCAATGCAAACGTTAAGTCTTTAATGCCGTAGCCTGGTATTTTTAGCATTCCCAGTCAAAAACTCAACAAAAAGACCCCGTCTCTGCTGCATCCGTCCCCACCTGGACCACTGGAGCGTTGAGCGTGTTCTCCACACCCCGACACAGAGTCTCCAGCCTCCTCGCACCCTCCAGCGCGGCGGACTCCGCCCACTCCCAGAACGCACCGTGGCTGAGAGAGCTGTGCGGGAGCTGCGAGAAGAAGTGAAAAAGACGATTACACACATTTTGAAAACGTCCCGTTTTTTTTTTTTTACCCGTGCCGAAGACGGGCGTCGGGACGCGTGAGGTCACCTGCTGCGCGAAGCTCTGGAACAGCTGCTCCATGTCAGAGGCGAGGTTGCTGTGCAGACAGCTGAAGGTTCCCAGCATGCTCCAGATCATCTGCAGCGCCAAGCCGTTGAAGCGGGGAAGCTCGTTGAGCAGCAACGTGTTCATTGTCCTGTGAGGGGCGCGGAGGGGGGGGCGTGTAAGTTGAAGTGAGCAGTACACAACAAGCTCCTCTTCCAAAAGGCTGTAATCAGCTGGGACGCGGCCATTTAAAGTAAAGCCCCTGTCTGACTTGACACTCTGACTCAGAAAAGTCTGGACATAAAATGCAACAAAACTGGCGGGTGAAGTGAAAAAAAGATGCTTGAAACCAGGGGCTTAAAAAACTCCATCCTGTCATCTACAAGCGATCCCGCTCTCTCTTTACTTGTAGGTGTTGGCCACGTCCTGCTCCTCGTAGCTCAGGCTGGATTTGGCTTCTATCAACTCGTAGTCAAGCAGCTTGTCCAGCCTTTTCCGGATCAGGTTCCTCGGGCCCACCAGGAGGTCACGGAGGGCACACAGCGGCTTGTGCATCAACGTCCTCATCCTCTTCTCCTGCATGGAGATATGGGGATGTTTATTGTCAGACCGTGCTGGTTAATGCAGCTACCGCTTCAGGCGCTTGCAAAGTAATGCTTTTCTTTACCGTGGCATATCAGTAAAAAAAAAAAAAATATGAGAACAGCGAGGGCGGACTCACGAATGTCGGAAGAATCCACTGTCTGAGAGCGGTGGTGATCTCCTTGTAACAGATAAGGGCCTTCTCGCCGTCCATGTCCAAGTCAAACTCCTCAGTCTTGCAGGACAGGAACCTCTGCACACCAACGAAGAAGAAGGAGAAAGACGTCAAACCTGGCTCAGCTTCATTCTTTTCTAACAAAAAGTCATTACTGCTTTTTTTTGTGATGATTTTGGTATGAGGGTTGCTAAGGAAAGTGACTTTGTGGATTTACAAGAAAATTCAATAATTACAGCAGGAGGACAAGTAGCATGCCCTTGTGGAAAAAAACAAGTCTTGTGTGAATAGAAAAACTAAAAGAAGAAAAAGAAAAAAAAATCTTGATAATTTTAGAAGGGAAGTTCCACATAAACTTGTTTGTTCTGATCTCAGCAGCTTCTGAGTGCACAGTGTGACTCATAAACACATAGCGACATGTTTAATAATAAATATCCAGTTAGGTGCCACTTCCACACTGGTCGTCAGGGACCAGAAAAGTCTCCTGATCAACACTCCGGACCTGCTTGTGCTCTCTGAATGGGGCACATTCTGAATTTAGCGCACATTTAAACGGCCTCAGAAGAAGTACTATCCGATAGTTATCATCACTGGAACACATGCAGCCTACCTGCAGGTGGTCCAGGTACGTCTCCACGTTCTCCAGGAGCTTCAGGATCCCGTGCTCCAGAACATAAAAGAAACCTTCCAGAGCGCCAAACTCCTCGTCCACCCGCTGGAGGACGACATAGAGGGGGACAAACGAGATGCAATGAGATAAAAAAACGGCTTTGATCGCATCTACTTTACTCGCTCCCCAACTGCAGTTCATTTCTAGCAAAACAAAAATGAGAAAGGTGCCACTCCTCTTTTCTATCACCGAGTCACAGCACATAACTTTAAACGACGGGATGAATGCACGGAGCCGCTGTTTAATTCAATGCAGCAGCAAAATGAAACAGACCAAGTAGGAAAATGTGATCCTGTGAAACGTTTAATTGGACTCCCCAGGAGACACGCGGGAGTTCTTGATCAGAGCAGATCAGAGTGGTGCAGCAGGCCAGAGATAACAGCGGGTTCAACTACAGGTTGTGTAACACACCTTCCCTGCAGATGAAGCACAGGTGAATCATTAACCACAGTGTTGTACTCTACTGCAGGCGCATGGAGGCGTTCCCTTCAGGCGAGACGCACCGGCCACTCGTTCCCTTCAGCAGGGGCTGCTGTTATTCCAACTTGCACTCTACCTTGGGTGCAATTCCGGTCTCGTGTTTGATGTGCTGGCTGAGCCTCGCCGTCTTCTTGGCGATGCTGTGGGTGTTGAGGCGGTTGATCTTGTCCTTGATGGTCAGGGTTTCCGTCTTCTTGTATTTGTCAGCTACAATCACATCAGGAGGGAGGGTTAAAACACACACACACAAGCTTCCATTGGTGACACACAGAGAATTGAGTCCTTGACTTCAGGAGCGTCGGCACCTCGTCGCGCTAATTGGATCACACCGGGAAAATAATCTACAAAACACGACAAGAGGTCTCACCGACTTCTCTGAAGCGCTTGTACTCGTTGATGCGACAGTTGAGGGCGACGGAGGTGTGAGCGGTCCGCTCCAGGAGCGCGTAGGCCGGGTGGCTGCTGTCCGTGTGCTTCTGGATGGTCTGCAGGAGGAGCGGGTAGCGGGCGATCCGCTGCACCGGCATCACCAGGAAGAAGCTCAGAGAAGTGGCGTTTACCTCGGGCCTGGGGAGCGAAGAGAACACGCGCTACGTTTCAGCCGCGGGGGTTCGTCCAGTTGGAACTGTGCGTGACGGAAACAGCAGAACCCACGCAGAGGACTTGACGACTCTGATGATGTCGTTCCAGAGCGCCTCCTTCTGCTTGTAGCTGTCCTCCAGCACCGTCACCTGGCTGTAGTTGGACAGGTATTCCCTATAGGCCGCCTCGATGTCGGCGGAGAGGCTGAGGAACGAGTCGCCTGCCAGCAGAGGCAAAACATGGGACTGCTTATTTACACATAGAAACCACGCTCACAACACACGTATGATTCAGTAAAAGTAGGATGTAAAACCTCAGCAATTACAATTACATTTTGTACTCTTCATTTAATAAACTAGAAGAAAGGAGGCTCATCGCGTCAGACACAGTCCATGTTGTGAGTGACCGTGTGATGAACAACCCTGTCGTTGTCCAGTGGAGTGTCCTCATGCCATCACGCAGACGGACAGATACTTATATTAGGTTTCTTTTTTGCCCAACATGTGCTATTATATATGTAGGAATAAAGACTAAAATCAAACTGCATGGCTAACATCCAGCTGGGCTCAAGAAGGGAACTGGTCCCAATTTGGTGGTGAAAGGTCATGAATTTATATGCCATTTTCCCCCAAACAGGATGAAATACATTTGGACGGAACATGAAACTGCCGCCGTCCCCACATGCAGAGCAAAGAGAGCTTTGCTGTGGATTCGTCAGCTTGAACTCGTCTCGCTTCCCTCAAATAACAAAGAGGTGCGAAGAGAGAGGTTTCCTGTCAACAAAGCGTGATCAAAGCTAACGATTGAGCTGTGAAGGCAGCAGCTACGTCACCACCACTTCGGGGGCGGGGAGTGAAGGCTAAAAGGGGCGGAGCCAACAGCAAGAGAAGGGTTCCTTACAGAGGGTCTGCAGAAAGAGGGGCTCTCCAGGCCGAACCTGCCCCTGGTCCAGCAGGTTGAGCAGTCGACTCGACACGTCCATCACTTCCTCGATGTCGAGAAACATGCTGTCCAGGTTGGCTGGAGGAGGCTGTGACGGACGGGCGGACAGAGACAAAAAGATTTGATGCACTGCTTTTAAATTGTCTTCTGCACCCCCCCCATGTTTGAGTCCTCATTTAAACAGCTGAGCTTCTTCTACTTTATATGTTATACGTCTGATATTTGTTTCATGGTGGGAACAAAGAAAAGTTGTAGTGGGACAATTTTTCAACCATAAAAAACACATTCATACAAAACGAAAGGTCTATCTGGTGCTTTGCATAACTATGTGTGCTCCCTTAGAACCAGTGAAGGAGCGTTTTGTTCCGCTCGCTCCTCCTCTAATGAGGAACACTGAACAATCCTCACAGGAAACAAAGCGGCAGCTTTCCTGCTTCACAACGGCACCATTCAGTCACTCATCTATTCTGTCTCTCCAGCCGTCCCTCCTCCGTCCATCACATTGTTTCACCATTTCTTCTAATAACCTTTTCCACTTATCCTTCATTTCCACACATTGCGCAATGCCACATAACGCGGACAAATCTCCCCCCCAGTTCATTTCACTTAACACATTTAGCCCATCCTTTTCATGTCATTGTCCATCGCTTTCCCTTCGTCTCACGTTCCCCAAGTCCCTCCGGCCCATAAAGCCTGATTTCATTATGTTTTATGAGGCCTCATTTTATTTCCACTGCGATATTAAATGATTATTTGATTATTTAATAAGCAATACCTCAGACAAATGAAAAGCTACAACGACAATCAACCACAGAGCGGCCTGGAGGCTGCAGGACCAATTCAACATGTGGTGATTACATTTTAATGAAAAAATACACAACTAAGCATGCTCCAGTGGATGTTTAATACAACTTGCAGTATTTAACTTAGCAAAGTCGTATTTTTATTTGCACTGGGTGCTTTGGAACTGCTGCCAGCTGCAGCAGGCACCACCTTTGGGGTAATTTGGGGGCAGATCATTGTGTTGTTGTTTTATAAATGTGTACTGTGCAGACGGTCACAGGGGAAAGAATAGAATGTAGCAGCCCTAATTCGAGGCCTTAACTTGCCTATAACGGAGCTACTAATGGCCCTCATACCTGCAGTTTCCGCAGGTTGCCCCTGATGGTCCCGGTGCTCAGTTGCAGCAGTCGAAGGTAATTCCTCTCAGACTGGACCAGCTCCTCGATGGCCAGCATCTGCCTCTGGGCGGCCCTCTCTTTGGCCGACGCGTCCTCCTCGTCACACTTCTTTTGAGCCTCTTCGGCATCCTCCTCCGACCGCTCCTCTGAGCAGCGGTCCTGCGACACGTTTATTGGACCGGGGGCCTCCTCGTACGCATCGAGCTCCTCCTCCGCGCCAAAGGTCTCCTCCCCGACAGCGTCGTCCTGTTCCTGGAGCTGCTGCTCCCTGTGGTCCGTCGCTACGGCGCCGAGGGGTGACACAGCGGACGAGGCCGGTTTGTGGAGGGCCAGCGTGAAGGAGGAGGGCCTGCTGGGGACCTCCATGTTGGAGACCGCTGTCAAAGAGAAACACGCTTTTAGAGAAGAGCCCATTTGTAGCTTGGTGACACGTTCCGTGTCATCTTTCGTTGGACATCTTTCATATATTATAAAAGTTAGTTTTTTCATTTAGCAGCATAGAGCATATGGTGTTAAGTACACAAGATCTAAGCCCCCACCACCACACACACACACACACACACACACACTATTGATACTATGAGTGTCCTGTGAAGGACAAGCAGGGTGTCAAATGTCCTCATTCCTGTGTGGACCAGATGTTCAATAATACTGGATGACACGGGAGGGCAACTCAACCTTTAACGACCAGATCATTAGTTTTCCTGCAATCCAAGAAATCAAGTCAACGGTATCTCAGTCATATCAGCCGGGGGACTTTTCAGCTCAAATGACATTTGGCATCGGACATAGCGAAAAGAAACAAAGCTTTTAAAAAGGAGATTTTAAAAGTTATTTTAGCTGAATGAAGAAGGGAGCAACCAGGAGGAAATGGACCGCTGGCTGCAGAGGTAAACGTGTGATTTTCCTTCATGTCAACGCTGTGATGTCACATCAGCATGTGAAAAAAAAACAACAGTTTAGACAGTTGATATGAAAAGATGGAGTAATACATTAAATCTTTATCAGCGATTACAATGGAGTGGCTGGTTACCAAGACAAAAAGCATGAAGAAAGTTATTGTCATAAAAACTCAATTTTCTACAGAGAAATGTTTTTTATATATAATAAATATATATATCTTACACATGAAAAGAATTTCAAAGCAGGTAACCATTCCTGATTTGAATGTTTAGAGCGCTTCACCTGTAAGAGACATCTACTCATATTCATCATCTCGCCTCAAGATGAGCTCCACAAAACCTGATGTGATCGCTTTGTTGACTTTCCACAATCATCGAGAGGGAGAAGGAGAGGGAGGAGGGGGGGGGTGTTGTCACGGACCCTGTGGGCTGGAACAGCCTCCCAGTGGGCCGCGACAGAGCGACTAATGCTGCCACCGCTGTGACAATTAGCCTGGACGCGGTTCAGTCCTGCGGCCTTCTGGTGTCGCTTGTATTTCTGACCCGTCATCGGGTCGGGGGGGGCGGAGCTACTCGCGACAAGTTGTCCCATGCATCACGGTCACCTTCGTGAGGAGACTTGTGAACATGTTTTGCTACATTACGCTCTTCAAACACTAGAGGTTCAGAGTCCGGCCCTTACAGCAATCTGCAAGTGTTCAAATATCGGCGCGCACGTTGCACCGACCTGAAGCTGCTGTGTTTGTCTGAATCGACTGTGCGACTACGTCACACAAACATCCTCTACATTTATTTTAGTCAGTGCAGGAAGTGAAAATGCTGATTTTATCAGATTGCAGTGAGGAGCTTCTGATGGTCCACACATAACATTGATCCTTTAGTCCTTTTTTGTCCAATGAGCATTTGTTATCTGTAATTATCTTTAATGTTCATTTTAAAGTCCTTCATTTTGATCTAATCCGACCCGAAGATTTATCTTTTCACTCCAACACATGGTTTAAAGGTTTAGCAGCATAAATATCATGATTAAAAAGGCTGTGTTGCTCAAGGTTTTATGACTGTGAGCTGAGATAGGATTTCGGCGTCAGGGAGGACACTCTGTGTCCGATTAGTCAGATGTGTGTCTCCAGACAAAAACAGCAGGTCAGGAACAGTCAGACCTCTGTACGTGCGCAACCCTCCCTGTGTTTATGATACCATGTCTTAAGTATATATATATATATATATATATATTCCTGCTCCGAGGACGAAGGCTTGGTGCGCGACTCGTATGTGTGTCAACTCTGTCTCCTCTTTGCAAACATTAAATGTCCGGTTTGATGATTTCACGCCGGTGTCGAGTGAGAATATTTCTAACAATAAGGTGCCACAGAATTGTGAATGACCTCAAACCTCTGAGTTATACCTCAATAGTGTCCGAGTACTGCAGCAATAATTAAAACTCTACTGAGCACTGGCATCAAATACCTGCTTCCTCAGATTGGTCCTCCACTTTTATATTGCCATACTTTAACAACGAAGAGAACTCAGTATCCACAAGTATCACAACGACGCGCCCCGTCACCTTCATGAATTAGTGCAAAAAAACAGCCGACTCTGAGGTCAAAACCTGAGGGCAGAAACTGTCTTTACGTCCCAAAATACGAGAGCAGAACCAAAACCGCAGAAAACTCTTCAGAGTCCTGCGGACGAGGGTGATGTGCGTCAGAGTGACAGTGTGTCATTAAAACATTTACATCATTACCTTGCGCACAATCCTGGATCCAGCTGTGGTGAACCTCGATCTCCCCTCTCTCTCTCTCTCTCTGTCCGTCTTGTTGTGCTCCGTCCCGACTAAGTAGAAATCTGCTGCAGAGGAGACGCTGCTGCATTAGCAACACGCACACAGAAACACACACACACGCTGGTGTAACTTTCTCCAGTGACTCACACACAGCCGGCTGCTGCTGGGCCTCATGCGGCACACGGTGTGTGAGTGAATGTTCACGTGTGCGCGTGTGGGAGAGGAAAGCACAGTGTAGATGTGTGAGCCCAGGGGGGGGGATGGGAGTGGAAAGGAGGGTGGGCCGGTTATTTTGTAGAGGAAAAAGAGGGGAGGGGGAGGAAAGGGCGGCCACACACACACACACTTGTGCTGCTGAATAAGCTGATTGACTGCAGCAGCTGGTGGGACGAGGAAGTGGCACTTACCCAGAAGGACGCCGATTGGCTGAGAGGTCTTCCCAGCGCAGTGAAGGACCAATGGGACGACACCTTGAGTGGTTTCATGAATCGCGACACTGACCAATGAGGACGCAGCGTTGAAGCGATTGAAGTTTTCCTCTCACAGGAAACAAAAGCACCGCGGGACGTCCCATCCTCCTCCGAGGGATCCTTTGGATTTTCTGGTGGACAGAGACAAAAGGAGATTTACAGCTCGCTCCTTCGGGTTCCTTCAGCCGGAAGTCAAAGATGTGTGGCCGTAGTTTATTTGAAACAATTAAAAGGAGGAGCGTGGCCTTCTTTAACACAGCAACACAGCAGAGGGACGCAGCTTCCCCGAAGCAAATTCTTTTTACACACCTATTGTAATGGTATGGAGGACATTTTCACTTGGTTTGCTACAGAAGTATTTTCTTCCGAACACGTCTGCAGCTAAGCTGAGGGGAGGGTGGGGGGAGCCGTGGCAGTGGCAATGGCGCTTTGTGCCGAATGCTAACACGTACATCATGCTCATGGAGACAATAAAAACATCCTCATTAACGACTTTACTGCTCGACAGTTAGTGGTACTATGGCTCACGTTCTGCAGGTACCTGGATAGAAACCAAAGATTTGGACACTTTTAAAATGTTGCTAGACGGAAAATTAGGAGATCGACAAAGCTGTTACAAGTCATCACAGCTGGGAGGTGAACGTCTTTTGGAAATTCCACGGCGAGCCATCCAATATCACAAAAAACAAAAAGAAGATTTTATGCTTCATTGCCGGGGAGCCATGAAGGTGTGTACAGAGAGAGATATTTAACTCAATGGAGGTGACGGAGATGAAAAAATGATTCTGTGTGTCTCTTCCAAGACAGACTTGACTGTCATCATTTAAGATTCTGAAAGAATCCCTTCTGACTTTCACTGTGAGGAACAACAATCCCGGCAGAATGCAGATTTCACAAAATGCAAGTGGGTTTAGTGACAGAGAAGTGACAATCCATTCGCATTGGAACGTTGTCTTTCTGGGTTGAGTCAGCTTCAGTGGTTTCGTTTCCCCACGCATACATCCATCCGTCATCTCTCACAATGAACCTTCGTTCCTCACAGGAAACATGGTGTTGATAAATGTGCGAGGTAAATGCCAACAGTAGCAGGGCGGAGACATGGCAGGCAGTGATCTCTCATGTCTATTTAAAGTTTAGGAGAACGTGAACAGTCGGGTAAATTCGCAAAATCAAACCTTTTAAACCATCAAAGGGACAACGGGATGAACTGTATACTAGTTTTTTGCCTTTTACGTGATTCCACAGATCATTTGTTCACGACGAACCAGTCACACACTCAATGGCCCTTTCAGCGTGTCCCTATGAGAATAATCAGATTAAGATGCCAGCATGAATCCCGAGGCAATGACGGGCTTCGTTGCAGTGGGACTCCGTGCGTCTGGAATGAGGGAAGCAGGAGGCTGACTGTCATCTGGGAGGAATGTCGAGGAGGAATGCCGCAGGGCGTGATTCTGTCATCAGCTGACTCCGATGACTTAAGGTGCGCTGCAGGAAAGCGGGGCTTAAGGTAGAACGTACCGGTGGCCTCGGAGACAAAAACCTGCATCGAAAAGCTTGAGGACTTTTCTTCAGGTGTGAACGGTGGTGGTTTAAGCGGCTTGTCGTGGCGTCGCGGTCGAGAAGAGGGAGAGAAAATGATCCGTGGGCAGCAGCGTTGTCATGGCGAGGAAACTCACTATGCATAAGCAGATTTGACAAGAAGTCATGCACACAATACACAGAAGAGAAACCAAGAGTGTCTTCTCCTGGAGTGGTTCCACTCCGGACACAAGTAGGAACAACAGGGAGAAGGAAACCACGGTAACCAGACAGACATCAGACAAACCCATTCAGATTAAACATCATTGATCATATTAGTACTACTTGTAGCTATTGATACACGCCATTAACAAGTCACCAAGATGAATGGACAGACAGATGTTGGAGAATTAAAAATGGATGTGAGTGACATGATTTGTAGTTATGTTTACACTCTCTCTCACACACACACACACACACACACACACTGAATATTGTGTTTATGAACGTGTGCACTACGAGCATTTACAGAGACGCTATTAGCCTCATGCTACCATTGAATGAACCGTGAATGAAAAGGTCTCCAGCTCCTTTTTAGCATTTCCAGCCTTCACGGTGTTAAATGACAGCGGCCGAGCGGCATTTTGCTTGTTTTGATTTCAGCGTGCGCGAGACTCCAGACACGCGGCACGATGACGGTTAGCGGCGTTTGCCGCCGGGGTGACCCGGTGATATTAGGGTTTAAGCTAGGAGACGTTAGCACACAGAGCAGGATTCATTTACACAAGAATATTGGCGGAAAAAAAATATCTGGTTTTGCGAAAGACGCGGTGTGTCCGCTACCTTGCGTTTGACGAGTGAAGACAGCAGAGAATGACGGAGAGATGTAAGGAAAAAACGTTTTTACCCTCCTGTCAGCGTCCTCCCATCATCACCCCGCGGGTGCGGGGTACGTCTCGAGCTCTGTGAACGTTTCTGAGACGAACTAACGTTAGCGCTCACCTGTTGTCCTGTCAGCAGGCCGTGAAGCGAGCGACAGCAGGAGACGAACACAGCATCCGGTCAGTGGAAATAAAGGTCGTAAATGAAAAGCAGAAACTTCCGGTTTTATGTCAGAGTAAAAGTTTGGCGGCAAAATGATACACTGTGAAAAATAATATATGAATAACGTGTTTATGTGTGCGTTTTAGAAAGTTTCCGTTTCGTAAATATTTTTTTATTAAAAGTACATCAGTACACATGTATCTACATATACACGCTAATGTTCACATAAGATAGGAATCAAATGTGAATTTTGTTTCATTAAGAATAATTACTTTCAAGCTAATCAATAATCGTATGAATCTTAAGGATACTTTGGTTCCCCACACTTATACACGTATACAAATATGCTATACAGTTGAATAAAAAGAAAAGGTGGGTAAATTTAGGGAGGATTTTACCATTGAAATCTTGAAAATGTATATGGTTTAAAACTATTTTAGTATGTGTTTACAAAACAGATGTAGAAAACATGTTTCTAAAATCCATAACTAAAAGTAAAATTACCGCATTAATTGCGCGTTTACTCCATACCACCGGGGGGCGCTACAGATGCCACCCAACGTATCTTCATCAGAGGTGAAAGGTCACGAGTCTGACAGAGCCACATGCATGATGCTGAGTTGTTGACTTGATGGTTGTATATGCTGGACATTTAGAAAGGTTGTATTACTTCAAGCGGTTTCGTTCCGGTGAGTTTTAAAGTTTACATACTGATGTATAATTGTGTTTCAGAGCTTCCGCTGTGGGTGTCGTTGGTTGTATTACTGAAGCTGCATCGCTTGTTGCTCCTTCTAGCTAGTTTAAGTGTAAGCTAGCCCATCCAGTTCCATTGTCGGACACCCTGTAGCCGAACACTAGTTAGCTACTCTATACTACTAAAACCATCGGTTTGGCTTTAAGAAAAGATAATGCACCAACCGAAGTAGTTTTTTGTTTATCTCCCCCCTCGGACCTGATTTGTCCATTGATTGGATCTATAAGGTGACGTTACCAACGTGTAAAGGCTCAAGTAACGCTAACTTAATGTTAGCCTAACGTTATACGTGTTAACGTACATTGATTAAAACAAAAAGCCTTTATATTTAGCATTAATGGAACGTATGATGATAGATGTCTTTCTGCCGTTCATTATTATTTCCGATGATACCTTGGATTTAATACAGAAGTTATGGGACGGAGCTGTGTCCGATAATGGATCGTAGATGTGTTGTCAACAAATGAGAGAACATTACATTACATTTAGCTGACGCTTTCATCCAAAGCGACTTACAATAAGTGCATTCAACCATAGGGATACAAACTCAGAAGAACAAGAAACCAGAAAGTGCAATTTCCTCAAATAACCAAATTTACAATTTTCTATAGATAAGTGGCTTTACAAGTACAATTGAAGTGCTACAATTTGTTAGTATGGACAGCAAAGAGTCGTGATCTAGTCGAGTGTTTTGCTCTCAGTGAGGGAGGGACGAGCAGTTTATCAGATGCAGAGTGGAGAGTGCTGGTCGGGATGTCGGGTTTCACCGTGTCCTGGATGTAAGCTGGACCCGATCCATTCACAGCATGGTACGTGAGCACCATGTTTAGAACTGGATGAGCCACCGGCAGCCAGTGAGGAGAGCGGAGGGGTGGAGTAGTGTGGGAGAATTTCGGAAGGTTGAAGACCAGTCGAGCTGCTGCATTCTGGATGAGCTGCAGAGGTCGAATGGCGGTGGCAGGGAGACCTGCAGGAGGGAGTTGCAGTAGTCCAGGCGGGAGATGACAAGAGCCTGAATCAGTACCTGCGCTGCCTTCTGAGTGAGAAGCTGACGTATTCTCCTGATGTTGTAGAGCGTGTATCTATAGGATCGTGTTGTCGCAGTGATGTGGGGAGTCAGGGAGAGTCGGCTGTCGAGTGTGACGCCGAGGTCACACATTCATTATTTACCAAGTCTGCCATGTGCAGTGTGCCTCCCTCAGTATTGGAATTACAATTTATAAATTCATTTCATTTATGTAAACCAAAATAAATTCACGTTTTTACCCCTACAACAGCAGAATAAAGAAATTTCTCCAAATCTCAAATTATTAATTGATCACGTAGAGGCATTTCATTCGTTTCATTTAATTTAATTTCATTGCTGTAATTTAAATCACTAAAGGATTTCTGGTGTTTTAACGATGATGACGACAATGATCACCCAGATAAATAATATACATTTAACTTTAACATTAAACTCACATCAATGTTTCAGTTGCGAACATATTGAATGTTTTGCTGCTTTTGGGTCCCGACTCAGGCCCTCTGTGTGTTTTTTTTCCCAGCCGGCCCCTGAGGTAAAATGCGGAACTTGAAGCTGCTGAAGAGCCTACGGAGCTCCGAGCTTCACGCTCCCGGCTCCCCGCAGTGTTTATCTGTGCGCTCCGAGACCGGCGCGCTGCTGGTCGCTTCCCAATATTCCATCACAGAGTACGACCCTCAAACTGGCCAGGTGAGCTGGAGGAGACGTACTGTCTCTTTTTTTTGCCTTCCATTCAAACGTCGTACCAGTTGCGTTTACTCGTATCCTTTGCCTTGTTACGTGTAGTGCTGTGTGTTTGTAGATCCAATTTCAAACAGGTGATGAAGGACATGTGCAGCCTTTCAATGAGTAATGAACTTGTAACCTGCAGGTGGTCAGCGAGGCCTCACTCACGGCCGGGGGTTTCCTCCCGGAGGACGGCAGCGGCACGGTGGTCGGACTGCAGGACCGGGCGGAATTGGAGGTGGCATGTTTGTCCACAGCCGGTGGCGACGTCGCCCTGTTCAACTTCAACACCTGCCAGGTAAGCGGCACAGAAGAGCTGGAATGTAATGACGGGCTGAGAGGAAAGGGGATCATTCACATAACGCGTGTGTGATCGCGTTCCACAGCTGGAGTGTGTTGGCAGCGTGGACAGCGGCCTGACCTCGATGAGTTGGAGTCCTGATGGAGAGCTCGTCGTTCTCACTACCGGTCAGTTAGTTATACAAATGTCAAGAACATGCTATTTGTAAAGATCATCGTTTCATTCTTGTAAGCTCCGGTCTGAGAGCTCACACTCTCTCAGACAGTCATTGAAACACTTAACAACAGGTAGCAGCATTTTTTTTGTTTGGAAAACCAGGTTTGGATGGTTTAGGATCCACATGACTTTTTTTGAGTCTAAATGTACATATTATAGAACCTTTGTTACAGATCAGTGCTTAGTTCGTTCTTTAATAAACATATTAAGCAATGCTACAAATAAATACATTGCTAAAACCTTGTTCTCACAGGTCAGGAAACCATCATCATTATGACCCAAAACTTTGAGCCGATCACAGAGGTTGGAATCCACCAGGACGACTTTGGTGAAGGTACGGCGGCTCAGTGGCTCGGTGGTAAATAACAACGGAACAATTAGTAAGTGTCCCTTGTTTTGCAGGGAAGTTCATCACGGTGGGTTGGGGAAAGAAGGAGACTCAGTTCCACGGCTCCGAGGGGAAAAAGGCAGCACAGAAGAAGATCCAGGTCGGTGTTTCGCCCACAGATGCATGAACGTTGGGGCAGCAAAAAAAAGAAATGTTGTCTCGTACGAAAGAGTTATAATCCTGCAACAACAGAAGGTGCAGCCGGCTGCGGCCTGGGACGACCGCGCGCCTCGGGTGACGTGGCGAGGCGACGGCCACCTGTTTGCCGTCAGTGCCGTCTGTCTCCAGACCGGAGCCAGGAAGGTCCGGGTCTGGAACAGAGAGGGGGTCCTGCAGGCCACCAGCGAGCCCACCAACGGCCTGGAGCAGGCGCTCTGCTGGAAGTAAGCATGACCCTTTTTTAGTGCCTCAAATACATTCTTTTTTTTTTTTGGTCACCGGATTTATCTCATCCTCCTGTATCCGCGTGTGAAAGATTCTGCGGTGTTCCCCGGTTCTGAATAATACAATAATATCACGCGTGAGTGTTTCTGGTAAATCTCCTGCTGTTTCAGACCCTCGGGCAGTCTGATCGCGAGCACTCAGCGTCATCCCAACAAACACTGTGTGGTTTTCATGGAGAAGAACGGACTGCTGCACGGAGACTTCACCCTCCCATTTAGCAAAGACCAGGCGAAGGTACGGACAGCTTAAGAAATAATAGTGTGGTTGATGAGCTGGAGTTGGTAACTTTTTTGTTTCTGTCAAAACCCTTGCGAAAGCCTTTGATTGTATGTGTTTCAGGTGAAGGATTTGCTGTGGAACATTGACTCCACGGTTCTAGCGGTGTGGTTGGAGGACTTGGCTGCTGGAGAGGACAAACAAGTCAACACTTACCGTGAGTTGAACTCAAGTTGTTTCCCTCCTTCGGGTCAATCAGGGCCGTTCACCTCCATAGAATCTGTGCCGATCCGTCTCTCCTCCTCTGATGTCGACGTGAACGGCTGTAAACCTTCTTAGACTTTATTCTCTCTCCACAAAACGCTTCTATTGCTCGCCTGTTATTTGCCACTGAGAATACCTAAAAAGTAGAACCTCATGAATTGCTATAGACTCTTTATTCATGAATAACTTGAGTAAAGGAAGGCTAACAGGGGCGGGTGTATTTTAGAAACCTTTTCTAATATATTTAATATTTGTTGAAATTCTCTTCCATCAATAAATCAAATGCTCTGACAAAGAAATAATAGACAAAAAGGAAATGAAGGCGTCCTCTGTCCCTCTGCAGTCCAGCTGTGGGTGGTGGGGAACTACCACTGGTACCTGAAGCAGAGCCTGGACTTCGGCAGGGACCCTCAGAAGGCTCCGGTCTGTGTCTGCTGGGACCCCGAGCGGCCCCTCGGGCTCCACGTGGTGACGCGCGGCTGGACCACCGTCACGTACGACTGGGGCTGGACCACCGAGAGAAGCCCCGGGACGGACGCCAGCGACAACGCCAACGTGGCCGTGATTGACGGAGGTGAAGGGGCGGAGAGACGAGAGGACACGGGTCTCGTGGGTGGTCCCTGTGCAATGTTGATATTTCTTCACCTCCCCTCAGATAAAATCCTGGTGACAAACTTCCGACAGTGTGTGGTCCCTCCTCCCATGTGTTCATTTGAGCTCCAGCTGACCTCGCCGGTCAACCAGGTGACCTTCCTCTGCCAACCTCAGCGGACCAATCGGCTGGCAGCGTTGACTTCCGACGGACGGATCTCGGTCTACGTCCAAGGTGAGTCCTCCACTGTTTCCCTGAAAGACGCAGTGCTCACGATGAATGTCTTCCCTCAGGCTGTGAGACTCCTTCCCTCATCCTCCACCCTTCTCATATAAAACAGTAACATAATGGGACTAGAAACTGCAGTTTGATGCCTAACCGCGTTGTACAATGACAGTAAATGTGTCTCTTTTTTTAGTTCAGGTCTTAAACTCTGTTCTAATTCTAGACTCAGCGGGACACGTCGACAAAACGTCGGACGGTTTCCGGCCGATGTCTCGTCCCTTGGTGCTCCAGAAAGCCTTCAGGTACACCGCCCGCAGTGCTGCTGCTCCCTGCGTAACCACTGGTCGATCTTTAATCGTTTTGAACGACTCTTTAAGCGTAAACTTTGTTCCCCCGCAGAGTGGCGGTCCCGCAGGAGGAGCCTCTGGCGCTGCGCCAGCTGCTGTGGCTGGAGGACGACCTGTTTTTGGCCGTGAGCGCCGGTCTGACGCCCGCCTCCTCCACCCTGATGATGCTCCGCCCGGCTCATGACGCTGGAGACACACTCGCCGTTGGGTAATGGAAAACACTGGTGGGGAGGAGGAGGAGGAGGGCGGGCGCAGCCGTTGTCCTGTTAAGCCTAAGGGCCGGATCCATTAACGTGAAGGGTTCCATGTTTTATATAAGAACTCTTATGATGCAGGCGTGAGATGGAGGTGGAGGGTGTCGTGGTCAGCGTGGTGCACTGCTCCCGAACCGGCACCGCGGCGCTGCAGCTGGAGGACGGAAAGATCCAGAAGCTGCACTGGGGTGAGTCACTGTCTCCCAGGTGACACAGGGTTGGAAATCTGAAATATGGAAAAGAAAATGCATTATTTAAGAGATTGTGCCGGTTCTGACTTAATTAAGCTATTCAACGTTTGTGTTCTTTTTTCCAGTTCTATTTTCTGCCTCGCATTAATATTTACTTCCTTGTGCCATAGAAACCGTTAAAATGAATACATTCACAGTTCTTTTTATTATTATTATTATCTGTGTAGGTGGGGCCGAGCTGTCTGTGGAGGACTGGCGGGACTCCAGCTTCCGTGTTCCCTGCGTCCAGATGTCCCTCTGCAGCATCAGCGGGGAGGTAGAGACACGTCGACTCGGAAAACAACCCGACTCAATATGAGTGAGCTCTGAACAACGGGCCTAAGTGCAGATGTGTCTCTTTGCCTTCAGGAACATCTGCTCGGCCTGACGGACCGGTCCCATCTGTATGCCGGAGACACGCAGGTGCGCCTGTGTAGATGCACCCTATTTCACCAGCTCCCTCAGCGTGTTTCCGTGGGGAAATGTGCTCATTCACGTGTTCTTCTCTCTCAGTTGGCCTCCAACATTTCCTCCTTTGCCGTTTGCAACGACTTCCTCCTCATCACCACACACTCCCACACCATCCGCTGCCTCCAGCTGACCACACTCACTGTCCAAGGTAGCGCTTGTTCTTAGGTTAGGTCCTTCACTCGGACCTCCTCCTGTACCTCCTGTAAACATGGATTAATAAGGAGTAGCCCCGTATGTGTCAAATTGGCACATTTTGTGGTAGAGCTGAGTTGATTGACCTCTGACCCCGCAGGGCTGCAGGCGGCCCTGGCCTCGGACGGAGGTCAGAATGACGAGTCGCTGCGGCGGGTGGAGAGGGGATCCAGGATCGTCACCGTGGTACCGCAAGACACCAGAGTGATTCTGCAGGTCAGTTACACACACACACACACACGTTAGCACCCTTCACTGCTTCCTGATTGATTTGTGTGTTTGTGTCCAGATGCCTCGTGGGAACTTGGAGACGGTGCATCATCGAGCGCTGGTGTTGGCTCAGCTCAGGAAGTGGTTGGACAGGTGAGATGTTTTTCCATCACTCTACCTGTTTTTTAACATGTAACGTTACATATAGACATATTAATAATAATATAGAATCTGTAATAAACTAGAGGCGTGGCCTAAATATAGTTGCAATGTGGAATCTCCAATGTAAAAGGGACTGGAAGCGCCGCGTGATCCAAGTGTTCGATCGTACCACCCGGCCACTGTAACATGCTGTGTTTCTTCAGTTTGAGGTTCAGAGATTCCTTTGAGTGCATGAGGAAGCTGAGGATCAACCTCAACTTCATCTATGATCACAACCCAAAGGTGCATACAGAAATACACAACTTTATTAACATCTCAGCTTCAAGGATTAAAGTACGAAAGCAAACACTGAGCGTTTTGATGCCCCCCCTGGCAGGTTTTGCTGGAGAACATGCAGACCTTCATCACACAGCTCGACTCCATCAGCCACATCAACCTCTTCCTCACCGAGCTCAAGTGAGACTCTGCACCTTCAGTTCAACCGACGGGACCAGTGTCTCACTCCCATGTCGTGCATTTATTTTTTTTCTTCCTCTGTGGTGCTCAGAGAGGAGGACACGACCAGCACCATGTACCCCCGCCCCGAGGACAGCTCGGTCCACAGCCGGCCGGCTGCTGGCCAGAAGAAGGTGGACGTAGTTTGCGACGCTTTACGCGGCGCCATGGAATCGATGGACCCAAACAAGTCGGTGACACTGAAGCTTCTCTAGAAACTCGTTTTCACAACGGCGGGACATAAATCTGATCACGCTGTCGACCTTCTAGGTTCTTTCTGTCCGTGTTGACGGCTCACGTGAAGAAGACGCTTCCGGAGTTGGAGATCGCTCTTCAGAAAGTCCACGAGCTTCGAGGTGAGCAGGCTGCAGGGAAGTCCCCAAACATATGGATTCATTGTTTTAAGATATGAAAATGCAACTTAAGAGTATGAAAAAAGGAACATCAAACAAACAAATCAAAGTTGTTTTGTTGTTCTAACTGTAATTTTAATGTTTGAGGTCCACGTTTTGTCACTGCCGCAAACAATTGGTTGTCAAATCCTCAAAACGGTTTCCAATGGCAACCCTCGCAGGTGCGCTTTTCTTATAAACACACACAGTAGTTCACCGCGTGCCGTGTTTCTCCGTCCAGTGAACCCTCCCCCTGCTGCCGGCGCTGTGAGCGCCGAAGAGGCGTTGAAGTACCTCCTCTTCCTCGTCAACGTCAACGACCTGTACGAGCACTCTCTGGGGACGTATGACTTCGACCTCGTGCTGATGGTGGCCGAGAAGTCCCAGAAGGTACGAGACATTTGGGACATGCTGATGAGGCCGTTAAGTTAACGCTCTCGTTTGCGCTCACATGGCGCCTGTCATATTTGTGACGTCTGCGTCTCGCGTCCTCGTTGATGTGAAATGAGGTCTTTTGAGCTGCACAGATTTACTAATTAATACGCATCAAATTCTAAAAGCTATGACAGCTGTGACATTTTTTTCCTATTTGCATGTTTAGTAAAATGTCATGAAGTAAACAGATGTGATTGGGCTTAAAAATTCATAACATTTTTTTAAAAAGAGGTAAGTAATTCAGATTACTAACAGCAGAAAAAGCTCACTAATAAAGTGACAAAGCGGTGATGATTTGTCTGTATTTATCTACTTCCATCCCTGCAGGACCCCAAAGAGTACCTCCCCTTCTTAAACATGCTGAAGAGCCTGGAGCCAAACTACCAGCGCTACACCATCGACAAGCACCTGAAGCGCTACCGGAAGGCCCTGCATCACCTCAGCAAGTGCGGTCAGTCTGAACGCGCCGGTCCGCCCCTCCGTGGTCGTCAGGGAAACGTGTCCATCAAATGTGAACATCAGCATGATTGGCTCAGAGTCTATGAGGAGGTTTTGTGTCTCTGAGTCGTGCTTTGTGTTCAGGAGAGGAACATTTCCATGAAGCTTTGCAGCTGGTGAAAGAGCAGAAGCTGTACAGCGAAGCTCTGCGACTCTACGCAGCAGACGCTGCCAAACACAAGGTACGCAAACACAAGCTGCACAAACACCGCTCGCCTTGTCGTTCACACAGAAGCTTCTCAAACTGACGGTCAGACTCTTTCAGTGCCTTTTCATTTATATATATATGTATAATATTAGTGTTTTGTACTAGTTTTTGTACCCGGACCTTGAGTCTGAAAAGTTGTGCTTTTGTGTTGAAAATCAGCCCCAATTTTGTTCATATAATAACAATTAAGGAAAGTGCTTTTTTTGTTGCTGTTGCATGAATGAAAACATTTTTACTTTGACCTCTTAGGCTCTGAGCTGCGTTTACGCCGAGCACCTGATGGAGCAGCAGCAGGCGGAGCAGGCCGGCCTGTTGCTATGGCGATGCGGGGAGCCGGTCGGCGCCCTGCAGGCGTTTGCCAGCAGCTCCAGCTGGAGAAACGCAATCTGCACGGCGCAGCAGATCCCACTACCGCCCGACCAGTTAGCACTGCTGGCCCGCGACCTGGCAGGTAACCATGACAACAGGCACAGGGATGCAGACAAGTCCGACAGACAGGGGGCCGGTACGCTGGTCGGACATAGCACGACTCCAGCGGAGCGCCGTTGCAGTTCAATCCTGAAGTAGTTTCTTATTTATTTTTTCTAATTTCTATTTTAGAGAAGCTGACAGAGCAGCGACGATACTCTGAAGCCGCTCTGCTGTTGGACCAGTACGCCAAAGTGAGCAGCACATTTTTGAGTAATCTCTGCTAATGAAGTTAAAGAGGAAACATTGCACGGAGAAACCTCCTTTTCTCTTCTCCAACAGGACTGCGAGGAGGCCATCTTGGCTCTGATCACTGGCTCCGTCTGGGAGGAGGCGCTCCGCTTGGTCAGTTTACCTCGTTTTTCATTTCTTTTTGTTTTGGACAAACCCATGAAGTTTTTTTTTTTTGTTTTTTTTTGTCGTCTTCAGATTTATATGCACAACAGGCAGGACATCACTGAAACCAACCTCCGACCTGCTCTGCTGGAAGGTAAGCATCGCTCGGGCCACAAGGCAGAAGGCGCTTCTCTCGTGCGGGGATGATATCTTTCTGTTTGGCAGCTGTCAGCAACCAGACGGCTTTCCTGGAGGCCCAAGTAGCGACGTTCACGCGGCACCGGACCCGGCTGGCTGTGGTTCGAGAGCAGAAAGAGAAGGCCAGACTGGACATGCTGGGTGAGAGGAAGTCATCGATACGCTCTCATGTCGTATCTGCTTAAGTCAATGATCAAGAGGAAACAAAATGAAGGGATTCATTGAGTCAGAATGATGATTTAAACCCCAAATTGTGTCCTCCACCAGACGAGGATGGTCCAGACTGCCCAGAGGCGGAGCTTTACTCTGAAGCCAGCAGCGTGATGACCGGCTCCAAATACTCCCAGAGTAACTCCCGCGTCTCCTCGTAAGACCGGCCAAATGGCAAAATGTCCGCTTTCTGTCGTCCCCCCACGGGATGATGAGCCCTGGTAAATAATTCTGTGCCCGGTTTGATGTCCGTCCTCTCAGGAGATCGTCAAAGAACCGCCGCAAAGCGGAGAGGAAAAAGCTGAGCCTGAAGGAGGGAAGCCCGATGGAGGACCGAGCGCTGATTTACGCTCTGGGCGAGATCATCACCACCGTGGACAAGATGAGAGGTACGAGGCCCCCGACACGTCACACTTTGAGATGCTGTAGAAACTACTGCAAAGATGTCGCACTTCTTTCGGCATTCCATACTGTGACCTTTTAGTGACTCAGCACACTGATATTTCACAGCCGGCTATTTAATCATCATTTGCATGACGTGGACAAAGATAAAATGTCGTTCTCCTCCTTGCAGAGGAAGTGCACGGCCTGCTGAAGGCTCTGGTGCTCTTCCACTTTGACAAACAGGCGGAGAAACTGCAGCCGGCCTACGAGGAGGCTCTGCAGATGATGGAGGCGGCCCTTCCCGAGGTGTGGCTGGACGGCGCGCAGAACAACCAGACTCCGGTAAGTATCGATTATGAGATATTGTATTAATCTCAGTGATGCGATTTGGTTTAAGCCCGACGGAGGCGAATAAGTTTTTTGTACTTTTTTTTTATTTTGATGCATCCGTGGTCTGATTTGTTTCAGCTCACGGGGCCGAACTCGACTGCTAACAGCATCATGGCTTCCTTCCAGCAGCAGCAGAGGCCTGCAGCCTCCCAACCAGGTCAGCAAGGTGTGTGTTGTTAGACGTGTCATGGAGTAGACAGGGTGCGCCTAACCGCCGGGAACTGCAAGGTTGGCAGTTCAATCTCCGGATGCTCCATGTTGAAGTGTCCCTGAGCAAGACACCCAATTGCTCCTCGGGCAAAAATGTAAAAAGCAATTAATTAGTTAAAAATGCAATGTAAGTCGCTTTGGATAAAACGCGTCAGCTAAACGACCTGTAATGTAATCTCGTTTCATCTGGTCTGAGATATGTGAGCGCGCTGCCGAAGGAATTGATTCTTGTTCATTGTGTTTTTATTCTTTTTGTAGCTGCTGAGGTCCTGATGCCGCCGAAGATGAGAAACGGCGTAAAGTGGAAGCTTGCTATTCTAATGTAAAACTATGTTTTTGTTTTATTTCAAACTGAAAAGTCATATGTTAATAATGTAATCAATAAAGTTGCAGTTAATGTTTTCTTTTCTCAAACATGTTCATTCTCTGGAGGTCAGAAATGCCAATATGAGCCAACAGGTTCTGGTACCAGTTCAACCACACCAGCTGTAAATAAGTTAAGATGTTTTGTTTTTGAGGACAGAGAGAGTTGAATCCACTCTCCTCAAACTGAGGCCTTCACCCCAATAACACGTGACCCCGTGTGACTGACCTACTGGACACATCAGGGCTGGTGACCTTTGGCCTGAGGGACATTTCTATTTTGATCTTTAAACCAGTTGAAGCTCAACTTCCACCAAATAGTCGTATTCAAGCACCTGAATGAATATTTGTTGCATTTCTTAATTAAATATACCAACCTCAATACTTAAGCTATTCTGACCGACAGGATAGAGGAATTTGAAGATGCCCCACCCCCCCTGGTTGTAGAGTCTTAAGTCCCCACACAGTTTAAACTTTAATATTCTCTGATCAGATAATCTGAATACTGAAACTTTCTGACATCACCAGTGAAGAGATTACAAAAATGCTAATTCCTCCTCATTGTTCTGGTTAAACAGCTTTAATGGCACAGAATAATTTTCTACTGGGACATTTGTACATCTGATATTGAAATAAGTTTTATTCCAAATGCATGTACTCAATGTGGGAACTTGAATGTATTGGTTTTCCATGTTGAAAAAAATCATTTCAGGATACAAAATACATATAAAAGAACCTGGAGTGATGCCATTAAACTTTGTTTCTTTTTCATTTCAACTAAACACTAATCAACCAGGTCGTCTTAGAGAAAAACAGAAAATGCAAATAGAAAATATATTTACAAAAAAAGTGGAATTTCAAAACTGAGTCGTATCTGCACTCCGCTCTGAATGTTTTTAAAGCCGCAGAACATCCTGAAACAATATCACTGAATCCAGGAATTAATGCAATTATTTTAAAATCGGGAAAAATACCTTTCTAAAGTGTGGTGAATAGTTTCAGATTATTATTTGTAAGTCTGCTTCACTTGAACAGTTTTTCCAAAGTTGAAACGACCAGACGACTGGACTCAAAACGCTTCCAAATTCATCCGTGTGAAGAAAGGCGAGAAAACGATTCAGTAAACACGGCTCTTGATCCACAAACTCTCATCGTAGAACAAAAAAAACTAAAATAAGAAGGTTCACCTCTACTAAGGCGTGCTGATGAGACCGTCAACATGAATAACAGTTCACAGTGACCCAAAAGAGACGCACCTCCCTCCCCAAAAAACTGAGCGGGCGGAGCGGCGTGCAGAGCGAGTACGTCCAGCCTCCGTTTGAAGCCCCTCAGGGCTTCCAGAGCTTCAGCAGGCCGTCCTCGCTGTAGGTGCTGATCAGGTTCTGGTGGGGGTGGTGGGCGATGCCGATCACATCCTTCTCGTGGACCTGGAGGCAGGAAGAGCGATGCGTTTGAGTGGAAACAATCACAGTGGAAGCTATGACAGTGAAAGGATCATGTCTTTGGGGGTCGACTTTCATAACCAGCTTCAAAAAGCAAGACACGGTCGGACCGTTGACGAGGAGCGGAGGCGGCAGGTGCTCTGATCTGGGATCAGTCAACGTACCGTCAGCGTTCTCTCCAGCTTGCCGGTGACGGTGCTGAAGCAGTAGAGCACAAAGTCTTCTCCCACGCAGTAGATCCACTCGCCACGGGGCGACAGGGTGCAGCACACAAAGTCTCCGCCTTCCCTCTTACCGGAGCTGAAGCTCCTCACGATCTACGCGAGGACGCACACACACACACGTACACTCAGTATCGAACCGACTAAACGTTGCTGTGCTCTGACCTCATGCTGCACCCACCTGCCCCTGCATGTTCATGATGACCACCGTGTTGGAGCGGTTGCACACCACAAAGTGCTCCGGGTTCTTGGGCAGCTGCATGACGTTGTTGACCGTGATGTCGGTGCCGGCCGACGTGCCCAGAGGTTTGAAGGTGTTGGTGCACTCGGAGGTCTTCATGTTCCACATCTGGAGACGGGTTGAGAACAGAGACGCTGGTTATTTTTTAGGTTGTATCGACGAAGAAAGACATTCAAATGTAATACGTTGTTTTTCCTAGACATTGTGCTCCGTTGTCACGGTGACTGGCTCTTCTGATGAGCAAAAGAGTCACGAGGACGTTGCTTCGCTCACCTTGACGGTCCCGTCCGAGGAGGCGCTGATGATGTGGTGACCGTCTGGAGTGAATGCCGCCTCGTTCACGAAGGAGGTGTGGCCGCGGAACTCTTTGAGCGTCTTACCCGACTTCAGTCCGTGCACTCTGAAGCAAGAACGCAGACGACGTTGAGTGAAGAGCTCATCCGCCCCGTTGGAGGAAGAGTAGAAAGGGAAACGTTTGCGTGATTACCTGATGATCTGGTCGAAGGAGGCGCTGAGGAGCTGACTGCTGTCCTTACAGAAGCTGACGCATGTCACTCCTTTACTGTGAGCGCGCTCGAACCGCCTCAGACACTGACCGCTCTGGATCTTCCACACCTGCAGAAACACACACACACACACTTTAATTTGTTTCTGGGAAGGGAAATTATTAAAATTATTATGAAACTGCTTATACACAGTGTACTATGCACAAGAATATCATGTTATATAAAAATTTTACTTTAAAAACAAATGGGAATTCATTGCAAATAAGTGAGTTTCACTTAATTGGAGGAAACTTTTTCCGGATTTCTTCATTGTTATCATTTGTGACAAAGGTTTACAGCCTTTCACAACTGAAAAACAAAATATATCCTGGCGACATGGTTGTTTTAATGACTTGTTACCAAATATAACAGAAGCTCCTAGACTGATAATAATAATACTGCTGTGTGCTAAAGGAAGGAACATAACCAACTGTAAATTACCAAAAAGCCGTCAATGAGAAACAGACACGGTTTCCCGTCTACCTTGATCTTTCCATCCTGGGCTCCGGTGGCCAACATCTCCGTGTCTCGACTGAAGCCCATGCACAACACCGCGTCGTCCATCATCATGAAGTTATCCTGAGCCTGGTACTTCAGATCCTGCAGGCGCCAACACATGTCATTACGTAACGATAAAAGTAAACGTGGCCTCACATCAGACCACAGACTCCACCTGGTTCATGTGTGTTTATTCCGCACCAGTTACCTTTCTGATTTTGCCGGTGGTAAAGTTCCAGACCTCAATGAAGCCGTCCACAGAGCCGGTGACGAGGTACTGACCATCGGGGGAGAACCGGGAACACTCCACGTGAGATTTCTGTCCAAACTGAGCCGAGCGGAGAAACAAGTCACATGAGAGGTTATTAATGCATCAGAAGTGTGAGATTAAAACCAAAGCGCTCGGCCGACGCATACGGCGAGGCCGTGTGGCTACCTTGATGTGTCTGTACAGCTGTGTGGGGAAGCGCTCCTCCTCCACATCCTTAACGGCAGCCTTCCCCCTGAACAAATCAATAGTCATACCGGGCGGCAGGAGGCCCTGGTGCTGCTGCCACTTCAGAGACTGAAAGATGAGATTGTGGAGAAAAATATGTGGCAAAATTAGTGATTTTATGAGGAGCGATGCCCATTGCAGCTGCAGGTTTCAGGACCCCGTACCTGTCCCAGCAGCGCCATGAGACGAGAGGGCGGCACCACGCTGACCTCCCCCGCCAGGGCTTGAGCGATGGCCGCCCGGCGCTTCTCCTTACTGCTGCCGTCGGGATACGCCTGCACATCAACAAACAGGCATTTAAAAAGATCTCCACACAACCGTAATCTTTCAGATGTTTTCATCATGCAACATGGCGGGAATGTAAAGGCACATGCAGGCATAACGTGTTGGATCACATATCTCGTTTGGACAATCCCATTAACCTGATATTTCAAAGATGAGGCATATTTGAAAAGCAACTAAAAAATTGAATCTAATGTCATCTCTATGCATCTAAAATGTGGTGTTTCCTGCTGCACAAAAGAAGTGTTCACGTTACTTAACATACTATGCTACGGAAATCATTTAAAAATAGTTTTAAAAAGAAATAAAAAATAGTCATTTAAGTATGCAAGTCTCTTAAATAACGTGGTGCAGATCTGCCTAAAACGTCGCTATAAACAAGCCGACGGGTCCGGTCACCGAACCATCCCGGACAAAGACGGCATCTTGTTGCACGTTTGCGTTGGACTCGCCTCTCTGGGATCGAAGTAAGAGCGAGCCAGTAGGTTCTCCAAGTGGATGTATCTCTCCGGCTGGGTCTGCTTCAGCATGATCATGGGGTCGGTCTGCCGGAGGAGGGAACGAGCGGCGCCCAACTCTCTCAACTCGATCAGCTCCAACACCACCTGGTCGGAAACCACAGAAGACATTCAGATTTAGAAGACCAAGACTTCCAGCGCGATTCACCAGCTCATTTTACCTAAAGGTCTGTTGACACAAGCTACGTCAAAAGCAGAACAAAGGCTTGGTATAACATTTTATAAACCATTTGTATTAAAATGGATTAGCAAGAATAATAGATACAAAACACATGCTACTTTATTAAGTAGAAGCAGACAGGAATGCAGTAAATGACAGAAAAATATCAACAGTGACAGTGGAAGAAATGAGATAAAAGGCAATTATGTGTCCCCTCACAGTAACGTGGCTGCACTGGTTAATGTAGACATGTGAAAACGTACTGAGCTGTAGAACATAACGGATCCAAAGCTCACCTGCTCGTAGAGGTCTATCAGGGTCTTGTCCGGCAGCTTGAGGGACTGGATGGCTTGCAGCACGGTGTCCCAGTGGCCGCTGTTGATGTCGGCCACAAAGCTCTCTATGCTGTCCACGGTGTTCAGAGACACGGTGGTCTCCTCCTGCAGGGTGACCAGAGTCCGCTGCAGATTGTTCTCCTTCAGGTACTGCATGATCAGACGGATCACGCTGTGGGGAAACACCGACGATGACAGACATATGGATACACACAGGTATTACGTATTAAGATAGCTCGTTTTACAAGTCGTTGGCGGTGTGATTATTGGATCCCAGAGGATTATTATTTTAGGTCACATCGATAAAAACAGGTTTACTTTCGTGCTTTAGTTTGAAAAGGTTCTTTCCTGGTCAGTGACAACTGGCAGGGCAAGCTAGCTCATGCTAACTAATTCCAACTCCACTATCGTGCAGTTATGTTCACTCCATATACACGTATTGAAAACAGAGAGGAGGTTTAATTAAACTCTTGCAATAAAAGGGCAATTCGCTGGACTAAATTACAGTCATTCCGCAAAAAAAGAGCAAACTATATTCATGGGGAGAATGCACGTTAGGTTGTTAGCTTAAGTTAGCTTGGGGCGCTAACGCTAGGATGAGGCAGGCCTCACTAACAGAAGATATACTTAAATAGAACATATTGACTATCGAACTATTAAATCAATTCCAATGATTTGAAGGTAGTCAACTGGACTACTTACTCTGCGGATTCCACCTCCAGAGACATGATTATTTATTCCAAAACAGTAGCCACAAGACACTCTTCACAGAGTCTGCAGGAGCAGCGAGATGCGGCAAGAAGGACGGGCGCAAACACGGAAGTAGTTGGAGGAGCCAGAGACCTTCAAAATAAAACATTCATATCGCGGGGGTGGTAGAATAAATTGGAATTCAGGCTAGTAACAAGACAGAAATTGGATTGAATGAACATGCAGTGATAATATTACTAATGTACATATGATTGAATCAAAGTTATATTTATTTTACTCAATTATATCCATCCTCCAAAAATAAGCCTTCATTCAATTAATCTTGAAATGGAGTCCTGGGATCAGCAGGGATCTTTGAGGAGCCCACAATGGACACCAGCAGGATTACTTCTAGAAATTAGAGAATAGAATACATCAGAATGAATATTTCGCCGATTGGTGGTTTAACTGGAGTAGGTTGACTCTGACCTAATTCTATATAAATCATAGCATAGACAGGTTTAAATCCCCTGCTGTCAACAAAACCTCCTACGTTGTGATCATTATGAGCCTTTCCTGCAGAATAGAGCCTCCGTCTGCGTGGATTCTTGGTTTGTTTGCCGGAGAATCAACAGGGGGCGCTATCGGCACACCTATAACTCGGAGGCCCTCTCGACTCTCTTCTCTCTGCCGGTGAAGGTCTTTCAAGGTTATAATGATGATGATGATCAGTGCAGCCCCACTTCAGTATGCAGCCCCCACAGCCTGGGTTTGATTGTTTTGGGCAATCATGAGATAATCCCACAGTGAGCCTTGTCCACATTGGAGAGGAATCTGGCACCAAGAACAACAGCAGACCTCCTTCGGTTTCATTTGCCTTTGCAGAGGGAGAAATATATTGGAAAGCAATGAGGAGGATGGGGAGGGTGGGGTGAATGTTGCCATCTCCTGGAATGACGAAGCGGGGGCTGTTTGGGTGATGCTCATCAATGAGGGAGACGCCAGCGCGCTGGATGAATGACAGCGACACAAAAGGATGTAATGCTATCACTTCATCCTTTATGAGAAAAACAAAGACAGTTCTAAATGACTGCCAGGTGCAACACAGTCGCATTTTTCCCTCTCAATTCGAACACATTAGCAATGTCTTCTTTTCTCTGGTCTGTCAGAAAAAGGAAACTAACATTGTTGTGAGAATAAACACACAAGTGCTCCTCGTCTCAGTGCTGGTGAATGGGATTATAGTGTGGCTCTGAAAGTGAGTCATTTGTTTACTACTACTTACGACTAACTATGAAAATCCTTTCAATCGTTCTGCAAAAACACAATAATTTATTAGCAATTCACTTCTGAATCACCTTCTTTTATGAGACACGTCAGATTCTGCATTACTCGCACCGGCCCCTCAATCCAGATCTCTTGTGTTCTCGTGGAAACTGTTTAAAATGCTGAACTGAAATAACGACAAATCCCGGCGCAGAGTCACGGTCAACCTGTTAACGGCATAAACGAATTGATTTGGCGAGCGAGGCAGAGAGAGTGGAGGATGAGTTGGGTGAGGAAGAAACGTGTGTGTCTGTGGGAGGGGGGGTCATGATGGTCTGGATTTGTAGTATTGTAGTAACTAACCATAAATAACAATCAGTAATATTTGTTACATCACTACATTGGGATTTGGCTGATAAAAACACCGGAGAGACTGAATGGGAGGAGATGATGGGTTTCATTCAAATTAAATGACAACTCAGTGTTGTTCTATTAACAAACAACACAACAACACAAAATGTTTTCCAAATGTATAGATTCCTTCTTTCTGAGTGCGCCTATCATTACAACCCCCATGCAAATAAACTCACATGGGAAATAGGGAGGCCTGCTTTTTGACGCTCACATTACTTTTTAATCTGCATAAAACCAGATAAAACATAACGGAACCTCTTTGCGTTACCGTGGCAGGTACACAGGGGATTACAGGTGTGTTTTGGGAGTAAAATGCACAGGTTTCTTTCTGAGATTTCAACAGCAAAAAGGCTTTGCAGGCACGCTGTTCCCCAGCTAAGCACTGCTGCACATTGGCAAACAGATGCTGAAGAACTCTCCTTTTTATTGATGGTTTGATTCAAGATCCACATCAGAGAAGAAAAATAATAATCTGTGCAACATGTTGCACACTGATTGGTGGATTACGGGACGGTGAATTTGAAAGCAATGCACGTTTATTCATATCGCACATTCCAGCAACAAATGCTATTCAAAGCACTTTACACAAAACACCAAAATACAAAGAAACTATAATAAAAGGGCGTGTGAATTCAATTAAAAAGTCATTTAAGAGGCAAGAGAACGGGAGATAAAAAACAATTAAAATAGACAAAGATTGATATAAACATGGTAATATGTGCAGACAAAGAAATAACACAACCTTGATTTAAAAGAGCTGACCTGCAGTTTCCTGGGAGATTATGTATCATTAAAGCACTAAACATTGCTTCTTTACAAACAACTTTCTCCTACCTTCATTGCCACCTTCCTCCTTTCCTAAAAACACGTTCTTGGATGGCTTGTGATGGCGCATTCTGAAGTGTGAGCTTTTGAGAATGTCACTTGTCCTCAAGGAGAAAAGTGCAGACGGTTTATATCGAGATGAAAAGAAAAGACAAAGAGAAAGTCACTGAAGGAAGATACTTACACGCCAGTCTACACTGAGCAATCGAAATCTGATTTGTTGGATGGGACGGAAAAAAATTACCACCAATCCTTTTTAAGACACATGAATCTGTATCCTCCCGAAATGCTCCGTTCCCAATATTCCCAGTAACCAGATGGCCAAGCGTCATTGCTTTCTTTGATTTCCTTTGTGTCTTTAAGAGCTTTGTCCTTCAGTGTTCCCCTTTTGCCGAACGCAAAGAACAAAGGTACATTAATTCGCTCCCCGAGTCGCAACCCACAACTCCTTGTTAATTACTGATTTATCCGCCAGTCATTCAGTCAGCCCTCCAGCCACAAGTGGAAGTGGGTGGGAGTTGTGTGTGTGTGTGTGTTTGACAGGCCTTGATGGATCCGTCCCTGTAGGGGTTTTTTTGCAGCCGGGGTCTGAGCGACAGCTCTATTGGCACGTCCATTATTTCCATGGCCGCATTCGAAAAAGCCAAAGGGGACTGACTGAGAAACCCCAGTTGAAACACTCGATTTTCTTGACACGCAATCGGGATAAGGAGCACAGGGAGCAACGCCGTAGCTGCAGAACTTCCTTCACGTTGTTTCCCGGAGAGGCCTCACGTGACCCTAGAATCAGGCCCCGTCCATGCAGCGTCAGTGCCATTAACGTTGGGTCGTAAAGGTGATAAAGCGCCGAGTTGGAAATGGGATTGTGTGAACTGATGTACGTCCTGGAGCGGCCTGGATGGGAGAGATATGCGTCTCTACCCGTGACAATGTGAGTAGAAGCTATCCACTTACCGCCTGAATGCGTCTGTTTCTCCTCGGCTGAAAAGCCGTGGTGTTTACAGAACACCCACAACGCGCCGACACAAGCGGATGCTTTCTGAGTCTCTTTTCAAATAGCGGCATATCTCTGCTTGTTCCAATTCCTCTATTCACGTGAGTCTGACATCGACAACTCGAGGGGCCTTTTTTTGTCGGCTTGTTTGCGAGTTCACCCGAAAAGCTCTTCATGCAGCACACCGACATCTTTTCAGCTAAAGTGGGCATGAAAGGCGGGTCGGGGGGCCACGATGATAATATCTCCATCATACGGGGGGGGGGAAGAAGCTGTGAAACAACATCAAACTAACAAACAGTTTATAACAATGGGCGAAAGATGACATCATGTTGATATTTATGAAGAATTTCAACAAGGGATGAAGTGGATCTGTAGCCTTTGTAGTGAAAGATGACAGGATTCTGCAACCGGGTCAGACGATCACGGACCATAATTAAATATATCACCCTTTACAGACGTGGTTACGTCTGTTCAGTTTGTTAATATGTTTGTCTGTTTGTCTGCAGGATCACAAAAAATCATCCCACTAAGTTCTCATGAAACCTGGTGGAAAGGCGTATCGTCGGCCGAGGAAGAACTCTGAGTGTTCAAGCGCAGACCTCCACCGAATATAATGTGTGCATCAAAACTTTGCAGGTTCTTTGCTGGCCGATCCTGCTCCCTCCACCACCAGTCGGGGACAAACAAACCTAACCACCAGGGCAAAATACATAGTTTTTGTGTTTATCTTTATGCTCTACCTTTATGCTCTAGAAGACATCTACGCAACACATCAAAACTCAGGAACTTCCTGTCTCAAAGTGATGCAGAAAAATGAGTTCATGCGTTTGTTACCTCCAGACTGGCTTACTGTAATTCTTTGTTATCAGGCTGCTCTTGTAAATCTCTTAAGCCTCTCCAGTTGATTCGGAATGCTGCAGCACGTGTATTAACAAGAACTAAGAAAAGGGATCATATTACTCCTGTATTAGCTTTTCTGCACTGGCTCCCCGTTAAATCAAGAATAAAATTCAAGGTACTTCTCCGCGCCGTCGTATCTTAAAGAGCTTGTAACACCGTATTGCCCTACAAGGCAGCTGCGCTCCATAGATGTTACTTGTTGATCCTGTGGTTTGAGGATGGGAGCCAGAGCCTTCAGTTATCAAGCTCCTCTTTGTCACGCTGGTTTTGTCCCACTGATCTTTGAGCCAAATAAAGACGGCCTTTTTCTGTTCATCATTCTGCTCTTGAGTCCTCTCTTAAAACGTGGGCCTGACACTATTTTGTGGAACCAGCTTCCACTTTAGCTTCTTCTCCTCTTTGATATCGCTTATAGTTAAGGCTGGCTCAGGTTAGCTCGGACCAGCCCTTAGTTAAGCTGCTATAGGCTTAGACTGCCGGGGGACCTGGACCCGGTTCTCCTACCGTGGCCCTGCTGACACTTGCTGCTGCTATCATCATCATTATTATTATTATTTTTAAGTATTAATTATATTATTACTGTCATCATACACCAACATTACCCTTTCCTAAAGTCGCTTTCCCCCCCACAGGCTTCTGGTGGATGGTGGCTCTATCTGATGGTGGTTGTCCCTGCAGTGGTCCTGCCGTACATCTGGCTTAGTACTCACAATTATTTGAATCATTTCTCTTATAGGAATTGAATGTATTATACACCTTTTTTTCATTCTGTACACATGACATCCATTGTAGTCTGTCCATCCCGGGAGTGTGATCCTCCTCTGACGTTCTCCCTGTGGAAGGGTTTTCATTTTTGGGAAAGTTTTTCCT